GGGATGATAAGTTCTAATGAAATATTTTATTAAAACTCATCAAATCGACATATTTTATTAAAACTCATCAAGTCGACGTGATAAGTTCCAAGTCACTATAATAAATATTGTAGATCCCTAATTAATTTTAAAAATGATCTAATGAGCTAATATTTTTACCCGCCTAATCTATTTTACTCAAAATAATGGCTCATCCTCTTCTTCCACCCAATATGTTGCCTTCTCACACATTCATTATTGTCATGACTTTGGAGGTTCTCAATCTTTTGGGTTTGGGATAGTCCACCAACCTTATTTCTTGATCCTCTTCCTATGGTTGTTTGTCAGCAGGCATGCATGAAAGAGCTTGGTGGTTTATAATACACCGTAAGGGGAATAAATGAAGCATCAGAGTACTAAGCAGAGGCAACCTAAATGAACACAAAAATTGCAGCCCGAAGAAATTGCCCTAACACAAAATATGATAGAATTATGGAAGATGTGCAGTTTATTTTAGGATAAACTGCACGTTTAGTATCCTAAGCATCACTTTTATTTCATTTTGGTCACCCTCATTTTGGTCACCCAGCTATATTTTTTTTCAAAATTATATCAACGTTATTTTTTGGTTTCGTTTTGGTCACTCACCATTAAAAATTGTACAACTACTGACGCAACATTTTTTATTTTTTATTTTTCAATGATGGTATGACATTACCTTATGGTGACACATCATCATCACCGTTAATTTTTATAGTGGGTGACCAGCATGAAACCAAAGCGTAATGTTGGGTATGATTTTGAAACAAAATTAGCTGGGTGATCAAAATGAAATAAAAGTGATAATTGAGGTACTAAACATGTAGTTTAACCTATTTATTGACCTACAATCTTTACATACATCACATATTTTTGGTTCTAAATCCCCCCTAGAAGTACCTTACTTGTTGTTTAATATATCACTATGACAAGTTTGAGGGAAAATTTTGGGTAAAAAATTCATGGTTTTAGCTGAATTTTTCAAAAGCTTGCGGGTTTTATAATTGATCATTTAATTTATGTTATGATGATTTTTTTATAAGAATCGAATGATCAAATGATAGTGGAGGCCAAAAAGAACAACATAATTCAAATTTAATAGTCACCGGTATAGATCCAACGAAATTTGATTTGGGACTTTAGTTGTACATTTTAGAAACCTAAACTGATAAAAGAGAGTGAGCGAAGAGGAGAAGTTTAGTGTCATTGTTGGTTGAAAAATAATGACGATCATCGACGATCAATTATGGTGGTTTGATCGATATTTCATTCGAATTTTTCATTTATAAACAAGAAATGTTTAAAAAAAAATTTCTGTAAACCAACGGTGATGACCGGTGACAACAATGATAACATGATAATATATGAGAATAAAATAATAAATAATATGTCATGTTAGATTTATGTTAGGTAACGAAAGGTTAACTGTTGAGTAGCTATTTTGTTACAAATTAAAATATTAATGATCATGTTATACTTTTTCAAACTTAATAGTGAAAAAAGAAATGTACCAATATTTTAATGACTATTTGTGTAATTTACCCTAAAGTTAATCGAGTATATTTTGTAAGGTAAACTACTTCAAATACCGCTGGTCTTTAAGCTCCGGCTCGAAAATACCACTGACGTTTCAATTTTGCCTATCTTATCACTGACGTTTATGTTTACTTCAATTATGCCATCCGCCGTTAATCTGTTAACAGATGCTGACATGGCATCTCCTTACTGTGACAGTGATAACATAGACGATTTCATTAAAGTCATTTAATCCAAATAGGATCCTTATGACAATTTAACAATAATTTATTTGATATAAAATCCTAATTTATAACCCTAACCCTAAATCATGAAAAAGTAAAACATGCATCATCAACAAGAGAAAAACAGAGAAGCAAGCAATAAAAGAAAGTGAATTCAAAAGCAAGAATCCAAAACCCAAATCTTTCATGATTTGTGTCCTACGAAAATCCCACCTTCATCAACCTGAAAGTATCCTTTTTTGTTCTTATATAAGCATCTCTTTACTTTACTGGGAAACTCGAGCTTTTAGCAATGGTGAACAAGGAAAAAGAAATATGGTCGCTTTGTTTTTGGTTGCTCTATTTCAATGTAAATTCTTGACTGTTGCAATTTTAGACCCACTTGATTTTTTGGCTTTACAGTCCATTAGGAAGAATAGACGCTGCCATTGGGAAACTATCAGCTTTCGTCGAGTTATCTATTATGGGTCGGATCTACGGATCGTTGCCGCGATCAATCTCGTTGTTGAAGGAGCTTCGATTTTTAGCGATCAGTTGGACCTCAAACATAACGCACTCACCGGCTCGCTCGCACTCGACTCCTCACTCCTTCGCTCCAGTCCCTCTCCCTATCTTGGAACTAGCTGACCTGACCGGTGGACAAACTCCTATCCCAACTCGATCAGTCGTTCTTGTTAAGAAAGATATTGATTTGGCTAGCAAGTTTTATATTAGTTTTGTTGAGCATGTAATAAGTTATTAGGGTAACTCAGTGGTTTGGTGTTTACGTTGGTTCTTGAAGAACCTTAGTTCAGATTCCCTGTAAAGTAATTTTTTTATTTAAATAACTCTAATAAAATGATATTTTTTGGGTTTTTTAGCATCAAAACAGTTGTGCCAAAATGATGTTGTTTTAATGAGAGAGTCATGTCATCACTGTCATGGCATGGAGATGCCATGTTAGTATCCCGTTAACAGATTACGGTGGCTAATTGAAATTAAACATAAACATCAGTGATAAAATTAATAAAATTAAACATTAATAGCATTTTTGAACCTACGCTTAAGTTCAATGGTATTTGAAGTAGTTTATACTATTTTTATATGAATAGGCCCAAATGCAATTCCATAGCTCCCCTCCACAAATAATATAAATCCTTCATTCAATTATATATATATATATATATATATATATTAAATATTTGGGTAAACTATAAATTTAGTACCTAAATTATCAATTTTGGTATGTTTTAGTACCAAAACTTTTAATTTTTTCAAAAATATACCTAAAGTTTAGTTTTTATTCCACAAATAATATAAATCCTTCATTCAATTATATATATATATATATATATATATATTAAATATTTGGTAAACTATAAATTTAGTACCTAAATTATCAATTTTGGTATGTTTTAGTACCAAAACTTTTAATTTTTCAAAAATATACCTAAAGTTTAGTTTTTATTTTATTTAGTATCCGTCGTTAAAACTTAACTTGTATAGTACCTAAACTATCAATTTTAGTCTGTTTTAGTACCTAAACTTTTATTTTTTTCAAAACTTAACATTAAATTTTGAACAGTAGTACTAAAATAAAAACAAATTAAAGTTTTTAATGGTGGGTACTAAAATGAAATAAAAACTAAATTTTAAGTATAATTTTAAAAAAATTTAAAAGTTTATATACTAAAATGGACCAAAGCAAATAATTTAGGCACTAATGCGTAATTTACCCTAAATATTTATAGCATATAATTTCACATGTTCATTGATATGAACTTTGTTGGCTGCTAGCCTGTCCATTAATAAAATAATAGCAAGTCCCATCCTTTTGAAATTTAAAACAGCGGGATAGCCGTTAGGGTTTAGAGTGCGAGAGATAGATGATGATAGGAAGTGGAAACATGGGCGGCTCTGGTTTCTCATGGGCCGATGAGGTCGAGAAAGAAGCAGCAGCAGCAGCAGCAGCCGCCATTGCAGCTGCAGCAACCGAGCAACCACAACAGCAACAAAGGCAGCAGAAGAAACCAAACCCTTTCGGATCTGCAAGACCCAGAGAAGTTGTTCTGCAAGACAAAGGGATTGATTGGAGACAACTCGATCTCCATCTTCAACCCCCCTCTCCTTCACTGTATGCTATTTCTCCCCTTTTTTACATTTCTTATTGGGTTCATCTCACTTGCACTTAAGAACCTCCTTTTTAATTTTAATGGCATTGGCAAAGCACTTTTTTCTAAGAATATCAAATACAATGGGTGTTATTTGTAACCGATTTGTTGCTTGAATTGATATTACCAGGAATGAATTCCATCAGAATGAGAAGCTGCAGAGTCAAAGTAGCCCCCAACTTGTTACATTAAGTCCCCAGATTCAGAGTCCTATATTGTGTGCTCCTCCACTGAGATATCCACCAAAGTATGTCGCCGGCATTCTCTACGAGCATTGGGTGTCCGCCGCTCCGAATGCATCACGTCGCCAACATTATAGGATCGAGAAAAGGAATAGATCTTCGGGATGTGGAAAGCGTGAGTTCACAATGAGGAGGAACGAATTTGTTGAAGCTAAGGACGCACAACAGGGGAGATTTTTGGAAGGAAAGGAAAATTTTCATGGCAGGAATTCACCTGGTTTGCCTCTGGTGAATCAAACTATTGAAGCCCTAGAAATGCACGGCAACAGGATATCATTGTCTGCCAATGGGATCAGGAGGCATCCTACGAGCATACAAGATTCGGGCATGGGCAAAATTGGCAGAGGAACGGAACAAAAATGGCAAAAGGTCACCAAAAAGCGCCAGCTTAACAATTGTGTTCATCAAAAGCATTTTGAGAAGTTAGAGACATAACTATAGTGTTATTGAAATTCAAGATGGACGCACAGTCTTCTTATGAGTAAGTTTGTATCATTTTTGTTCTAAAAGCAGCTTCACTTCGATGAAACGACGCTTCTATAAACCTGCTGTAATTGAAGTTTTTTTATTATTGTGTTGAGGTTAACGGAAACCGGAAAATTCTTATCATCGAGTAAAGGGGCACACAAAAGAAGAAATGCCAAATTTAAAGAACTGCTCTAGCTAGTACAAAGTCCTTTACTACTATCGCACCCAAGCACTTTAAATCATATCTACGCCTAGCCATTGAAACGAACTTGACTAGATTCTGGCACTGGGATGCAAAATCAGTTCTCGTAAACATGGCTGAAACTTGGGCTGGCCGCCAGTGCATATAGTGATCTTCAAAGTTATATGAATGTCGATAAGATATTCTTCTTGACAGTGAATTCATCTGCTTTATCTGGGCTGGTGAACTGCATCATAAGCATATAACTCATGGTTACGGCCATCACACGTATCATATGCTTATAAATACATTTTAACCACCTCTACAGGTTTGTTTATTAAAGGAATGGGAGCGTTAATTTCAGGGCACCATCCTATTAATTACTCGTAATTATCGACCCACCAAAACATAAACTTACTTCAACTTTCAACAGTAATCCTTACCTTGTCAAGCATCCGCTGCAGCGGCTCGGTTTCCTTCTTGGGATAATCAGCACCTTTATCCAAACAGCTTTTACCAGCTTTCAAGTATATCTTTCCATACCTGGCAACCAGCAACAGGGGCATGCAACAATTCTTTGATATAAAGAAAATTTAAACAGGAAACTATGAATTGACAAGTCCATCGGAGAAGACTTGAGAGAGAAAATGAATCCCTCTCAGTGGAGCCCTAAAGCTTCTCGACTTCCCCTTCAATCTTCGAGAAGACTGCTTTCTTCTCATCATTGCCGGCAGCCACAAAATCCTTCACCAATGCATCCAAACCAGACAAAATACCAGCCTAAGCAAAGAGAAGGGGAGAACAGTAAATTTCAAATAAAGTATAGGTAATGATGAACATGACGCACTAATGATGAACTATTTTAACCTTTGAAGTCAGCTGCCCTTTTCCATCACGACTGGTGCCACACTTCTCATTGATGAAAGAAACAAAGTCATCTAGATCTCTGCCACCATTGTAGTATTCACCAGCTTTGTTGCTCTTTGGAAAGAATTTCAACGTTGGATACCCACTTACTCCGTATCTTCAATTAAAGGCCTTTTAACATCCACTGCTACATTCCATAAACGTTCAGAAACCATTTATTAATGAACATTGAGCTAACTGGTTAAGTTTACATACTTTTCAGCTAGATCCTTGTGCTTGTCAGCATCTAGATTGGCTATCACAACATCTTATTCCATTTTGAGTGCTGTTGATACCTTCTCATAGGCCTGCAGAGACAAGACCAAAGGGTTAGAAACGAGATAATTTCTGTCAAAATAATCATATACCTGCTTCATTCAGCAAAGATATAGATGCTTACAGAAACGAGATATTTCTTCACTGATTTCAAAAAAATATGATATTCGGTTGTTTTCATTTTCCTTTAACTAAGATATGCTCACTACGAGTTAATTATCGTTAACAACAGTTAAATATTTTGATATTGTCACACATTTGGTTTATGTTATTTACATATTCTCTCAATTTAATCATATTTTTAATAAATTAAAACAAATTTAATCCTCCAATCGAATGTTGTCACGTGTCACTGGTGCCACGTGGTACTGCCATGTGTTGTACCACGTGTCACCATTCGATTAGAGGACTAACTTTATTTTAATTTAACATATATTAACTTTAAAAAAAATATTAAAATAAATTAAAATTAAAATAATTTAAAATAAAAAAATATTAAATTAAAGGGTAAACTACTAAAATGATTACTAATGTTTGGGTAAGTTTTCGTTTTTACCACTGATGTTTTAAAAGTCACAAATCGATTACTAACGTTATCGTTTGTTACAAATTGGTCACTCAACGTGTGACGGAAAACACACGTGGACTGTTATCTGCTTACCTCGATGGTTGAACTACTCAAATGGTCACTAATGTTTGGGTAAGTTTTCATTTTTACCACTGATGTTTCAAAAGTCACAAATCGATTACTAACGTTATCGTTTGTTACAAATTGGTCACTCAACGTTAACAGTTGTTAACAGGTGTGACGGAAAACACACGTGGACTGTTATCTGCTTACCTGGATGGTTGACCGCCATAGTGGAGAACTTTTGAGATCCCTTTGACCGGTGTTTTACCAAATATTTAATGAAATTTTAATTAATAAAATTAAATGGAAAAACCCAAAACCACCATTTGCTCCCCTTCGTTGTTTCTTTTTCTTTTCTCCTGTGTATCTTTTATCGGAAGAGAGAAAGCATAGGGGAGGGGAAATGGCTTCGGGTAAGCACTGGCAGCATAAACAACAACCATGCGACTGCACCGTACCGGATACAGGTCCCCGGAATGTTCATGGACCCGACGTCTCAGATCATTTTGATAACTCAATAACTAATTGTTTCTAAACAATTAAATTATAATTAGAAAATTAATACTATTAGAGTAAACTATAAATTTATTCACTGAATTTTACTTTCTCTATTATTTCACTTATTGTACTTTTAATTTTTTTAATTTAATCACTGAATTTTATACATTTGTAACACTCTAACCCGTACCCGACCCAGATACGAGTCCGAGGTGTCACATTGACTTTTTAAAACCTTTACTTGCACAAAATAGCAAGACATTTGAACTTATTTTAAGAAAATAAGATCATATATTGTTCAATTGTGTTTGGTATAAAATTTTGAAAACAAAAGTGTATTTATAAATAATAAAATATGGTATGAACTGTACTGTATGAACAGTACCGTATAAACAGTATCCCAAATGTTAAAATTTCCAGATTACAAATAGGGAATAAATACCATTTACATATATATATACGTTTAAAATATTCTAAAACTCGATCAGAGCGTATCCAATACAAATTCCTTTATTTATTACATGTCAACTGAATTCTTTCTAATAAAATACATATAATTCGATCTACATTTCTGATCTGATCTTTGGTAAGGAGAACTGACCTGTCTTGTTACTCTTTGTTTCTCCTTTCGCTTTCCATACCTACGTATGAAACAATCACACGCTAAGTCGATGACTTAGTGAGGCATATAAACATATAATGGAAACTTATCTTCTAACAGTGCATAATCATTTAACATCATCATATCAAACAGAATCATATACCTTTGCATGTAATAAATACACTCATGCACATATATCATCCTACAATACCATACATTTTACCAATCAATACATACTTCATCATATAAATCATATCACGTTTCATATCATTAAAAGTATATACATAACATTCATTGGTATTTCTTTATTTCACCCATGTACACTATTGAGAACAGAGGTATGTGAGTACATTGAGGTTGTGCACTAATGTTGTCACCACAGCTCGTATAAATTCCCTCATGGGGCACCGAACATTTGTTCAGTATTCGTCCCGAATGACTGTTATATATGTCCCGTAGGACCACTACGTCCCGAAGGACTACAATACCCTCGACTCTTGGCATGCCAACTACACCTATAGCTCTCATATCATATAACATGGGCATTATCATTTATAACATTTCATATCACTTGTTCTTTCTCTTCTGTCACATACCACATGTATGTGTAACCATATATCTCATATCACATGTATCATCAGTACATGTATTCACCTAGATCGTTTCATATGGCTTATACCATCTCTCATTTCACATATTCATATAGGCACGTAGTTCACTTACACGTAAAACATTTTCATATGATTCACATTCACATGTCACATAGTTTACATCTTATTCTTATGTCTTCTCATAGACATATATTCATATGTTCACATCACTTGTATTATATAACCATGTAATATCATAACTCATTCTCATATGGTTTGTATATAATTCTTGTTATATAACTCATATCACACATAAGTTCATATTATGTAACATATATCAAATATTCCTGTAATCACATAGATCGTATCATTTTTTTCATGCATTCATATAAACTCGTATATCATATTTTGTTCACATATGTTCATATGTATATATCACATAGCACCTAGGATAACATATGACTTATACATGTATCCATATACACACTTTCATATAATTCGATTATCAATGTCCTATAACTTCTCACAGTTTTACATAATCACTTATTTCACATTAAATATATATATTCTAATTTCATATATTTACTTAATTCAATTTCACATATCTTATTACCTATATATATATTCTCATAACTTATCATCACATAATTTTCATAGCATTTTCCTATAACTTCATAAGTCTTTACCATATGACTCATATATTATATGTTCATTTAATCTCATAACTTTTCCCCATATAACTTATCTTACATGTTCGTATAGTTACTTCTGTCAATGTCTCCTAGTTTATATATTATTCTCATATTGTACTATAGATCAATGTTATTTAACTTATCCCACTTTTCATCTAATCGCATAAGTTGGTTATACCAATTCTGATATATATATATATATATATATCTTACTCATGTAATTTATATCCTTTCTCTTGTTATCACATAAATCTTTGCTATTTTATATAGTTCGTGATTCTATAGTCACTTATAATAGCATGTGTCTATCTTATCTCATATCATATAGTTCTTAAACTTATGTCTTATATCACATATTTATACTATACAACTTATATAATCACATCCACTACTTAAACCAATTCACATAGCTCGTCACACTAATATGTGTTCACTCAATTCATGTAACATATGTAATAAGTATAAAACATGTACCCATTTTCATGTACTCATACAAACATAAGAATCACAATTCAAATAACATTTTAGGAGTCACTTCTTACCATAGTAACTCCATTATTGACTCATCGCAAGCCAATGTTCGTTCAATAATATAAGTACAATTAAAATTGCACTCACCTTAGCCTTACTTTGATTCAATCCTAGTCCTTTGATTATTCCAGAAACTTGTTTATGCTCAATATCTACATAAATATAACATTTCAAAACAACCATCAGAAGCCTAAACCTTAAACTTGATATTAATAACTTAAGCTAGTTTTACGAACCATAATTTCATTTTCCATTTAGGGGAGAATCGGTACCCCCTGAACATACTGGAATTTTTCGTTCAAGGGGGGGAATCGATGCCCCTTCATAGGGTATCGGTTCCCTCTGCCCAGAAATTGTATTTCAAGCCCAAAAATCATCAATTCTTCAATCAATTCTTCTATTTTAAATCTCTATCATGCCATTAAATTCAACTACCATCACTTAAACCAACTTATATCCATAAAAACCATCTTAAATCTCAAAATCCTATCCCTCATATGAATTTCAATAATCATACCAAATTTTCATCATGTTCTAATTTCAATTCTATCACTTCATATTTTTTAATTAGCATGATGACAAGTCAAATTTAACTTCAAATTCAACTTATCAACCCTTTTCCATGATTTCATATAAAAACTCATTTTCTTTAATCTCTTACAACTTCTTCATCCTTTGATTATAAGACAACTTAAGCTTAGTTGTCATCTAATAATCAAAACTCATCCTTCAATTCAACAAATAATCAATAAAATAGAAAACTCTTACCTTTGCCTAGCTTCCACGGGAGAAAGAAGATGAAGAAGGAAGAAGAGTTTGTAGATAACTCTTCCCCACCCCACGATAATCATTCATATAATTGGGGGGAAATATCTTTCATGCTAAATGACCATTTTGCCCTTTAATTCTTTGGATAATTACTATAAACTTTTAGGAAATATTTCTAATTAAATCATTAAACTATTCAACTTTTTCACTTTAATCAACACATTCCAAATTCCTTATAATTTAGTCACTAACCCGTAGTTTGGGATATTACAACATTGAATTTTTTTGATAACTCGATTACGAGCTTTCTAACGGTGTTATGATGTGGCAATCAACACCAAAACGACGTAGTTTTGGATATTATAAAAAATCAAATTTTGATTGAAAACGATGTAAATTTAGTCTACACAATTTTTTTTCTCTTTTTCTTCATTTCTACTTAATCCTTCTTCCTTTTCTTTCTCCCCTCTTTCTGTGTTTCTCTTTTCAACCTTAATGAACTTAGATTTTGGTCATTACATTGACCGTTATTTTAATCACTGTCTATCACTTTTATCGAAGATCAATGACTAAATAAATACTAACTAAAACCGTTTAAATGAAATCCAAATAGCATCTTCGGGAAAATACTATTGAATCAATAATACTATTTCAACTAGGTTGATTTTCTTTATCATCCTTTTTTTCTAAAATAATCAATGTTTCCCTGGGTAAAAATCCCATCAGTTGCTATAATGATTGATGGTCTAGATGTTAGACTGTTATCAATGCAGCACATGCATGAGGAGGCAGTTAGTCTGTTAGGTTGATTAGCTAAGAGTGTTAGTTTGTTAGACGGTTATTGGCAGCTAATGAGAGCTTAATCTTCTCTTATAAATGTAATGCACCAGCTGAGATGAATAACAAGTCATTCTTTCCTGTGTATACTTTCTGTTATACTCACTTCCTAATATGGTATCTTTCGCCAAAGTCCTGGGAATTTTGCTTTCACGCTTCTAAATTTTCTGTCTCTCTAGTTCTTCATTCATGGTGCACAATGGGTCTAGTCAGCAAACTGCTGACTTAGTTACCATGCTCGGGCTTTAACACCACTATAACACAACATTCATTGAGCTTTTGGGGCTCATTCTCAAATATTATTTGGATTGTGGTGATGGAGGCTGAACGTGGCTTACCATCGTACTATAATGTTATGGGAGTCGAGATCGATGCTTCCATTCAAGACATCAAGCGTGCTTATCGAAAGCTTGCAATGCAATGGCATCTGGATAAGTGGATGAGCACTCCTTCTCTATTGAGTGAAGCCAAGCGTAAATTCCAACAGATTCAAGAAGCTTATTCCGTTTTATCAGATCAGAGGAAGAGAACTCATTACGATGCTGGATTATTTGATCTCGATGATGAAGACGATCAGGGCTTGTCTGATTTTATGGTTGAAATGATCTCCCTTATGGCTCAAACAAGGGAAGAGGAGAAAGTTTGCAGCCTGGAGGAGCTGCAGAAAATGTTGTGCGATATGGCACAAGAATTTCACTCACCGTCGTGGTTCTGTGGACCGTCATCTCTGCCGAGGCACCAACGCCTCAAGAAACCAAAAAGATCGTCGAGGTGCCTGTTCAATGGGCACATCTTTCTTTGTTATTATCTTTTTGTATTTTTTGCTTCCTCTGTTCTTGAGATCTGCGCATTCCTTCAAGATCCTCGAAAAGTTTCTCTTTCTTCAGAACTGGAAACCGCTGTAGTGATGTCTCCCCCAATTGAGCCTCTTGCCAAGTCCTTCGACTCTCAAAATTCTGCACATCCTCCTTTGAATGAAAGGACCCTTTCTTCAATGACCAGGAGGTCCGTCGCTGCGCACCCATGGCATGATCTTGAGATTGGACCTGGAACTTCTACGATTTTTAACTGCGTGGTTGAAATTGGAAAAAGGAGCAAGGTGAAATATGAACTTCACAAGAGAACTGGTTTGATCAAGATTGATCGTATCCTTTATTCATCAGTTGTGTATCCTCACAACTATGATCTTCTTATGAAACATGACAACCATATGGAGACTGGTTGTGAGGTTTACTTGCATAGAATTGGTAGAGCAGAGCATTTCGGCCGCAAGGGAGCTGTGTTCAACTTACTCTGTGGTGATGCGGATCAAATGTTTCAATGATGTTGTTGGTGTTTGGTTTGTTTCACATTGTTGTTATAGAATAGGTTTTTCTTTTAGAATTTTTTGTTGAATGTTCATTCACATCAAATGTTTGTTCCGATTCAAGTCGAACGGAGGGAAGCATCTGCACTTCCGATTCAAGTCGAACGGAGGGAAGCATCGGCACTTCCGATTCAAGTCGAACGGAGGGAAGCATCGGCACTTCCGATTCAAGTCGAACGGAAGGAAGCATCGACACTTCCGATTCAAGTCGAACGGAAGGAAGCATCGACACTTCCGATTCAAGTCGAACGGAAGGAAGCATTGGCACTTCCGATTCAAGTCGAACGGAAGGAAGCATCGGCACTTCCGATTCAAGTCGAACGGAAGGATGTGTCTTACCTTGTTGAAGGAGGAAGAGAAAGTAGAGGGAATGTTAGACTGTTATCAATGCAGCACATGCATGAGGAGGCAGTTAGTCTGTTAGGTTGATTAGCTAAGAGTGTTAGTTTGTTAGACGGTTATTGGCAGCTAATGAGAGCTTAATCTTCTCTTATAAATGTAATGCACCAGCTGAGATGAATAACAAGTCATTCTTTCCTGTGTATACTTTCTGTTATACTCACTTAGGAAGTAGTTGAAGAGAAAGTAGTAAAACGTTTATTGAAGTAAAACATTTATTGATACTCTGATTACAATACAAGGGCTGCTGTGTTTATATACTGCACAGGTAGCTTAACAGAATAACCTCTCTTAACAACCAGCTTAACAGCTTCCTAACTGCCTAATATTCTTCTAAACATACTCATTCTTCTAACATTCTCCCTACTTTCTCAACCTTCTTGATAAAAAGATGAACAATTGAGTCGAAAGTGCTGATGCTTCCTTCCGTTCACTTTGAATCGAAAGTGTCGATGCTTTCGATGCTTCCTTTCGTTCTTCTTGAACCGAAAGTGCCGATGCTTCCTTCCGTTCACTTTGAATCGAAAGTGCTTATGCTTCCTTTCGTACTTCTGATTCACCTTCATTTCTTTGTTCTTCACCCTCTTTTACCAGATTCCTTGAAATTTTTTTTTTATGGACTTTTAGCTGAGAAGCTTTCAAGTCCCATAACACTTTTGAGATATAAGCAATAAAAGCAACAACATGAATGCAAAATTAAACTTCTGTTTACTTGCACAAAAAAATACTATATAGATGGTCTCCAGTGTACCCATAAACGGAATCTCTGTTATAAGTTCCCATTGGCAGAATTATTAACCTGAAGAGTGTGGTGATCATAAGCCTCAATCCATTTCCCGCCTATTAGACCCAGCGTTCGGAATATGGGGGAATTTTTAAGCGCAGAAGCGACACTACCCATCTGGCGAGCGCGAAAATGGCTCTGAATCTCAGTCTCATTGCCTCGATTTCTCAGAAACTCCCTTGCCATGCTCTTCCTCCCAAATCCACTCTCAGATCTCCCAAGTTTTCCATGATCTCCACCATTCCTTATGGCTCCAAAGATGTTGGGAATCTGAAAAAGCCTTTCGCGCCTCCACGGGAGGTGCCTGCTCAGATCACCCACTCCATGCCGCCTCGTAAGGTTGAGATCTTCAAATCTCTGGAAGGATGGGCCGAGAACAACATCCTGACTCACTTGAAACCAGTCGAGAAATGTTGGCAGCCCGCCTACTTTCTCCTGGATCCTAATTCCAATGGTTTTATGACCAAGTCAACGAGCTCCGGGAAAGGGCAAAGGAGATTCCCGATGATTACTTTGTCGTTCTGGTGGGTGATATGATCACGGAGGAAGCCCTTTCCACTTATCAAACAATGCTTAATACCTTGGATGGAACTCGCGATGAAACTGGTGCTAGCCTTACCCCTTGGGCCATTTAGACCAAGGCATGGACTGCCGAAGAAAACCGGCACGGCGATCTGCTTAATAAGTATCTCTATCTCTCTGGAAGAGTGGACATGATGCAAATGTGATGAGAAGATCATAGAAACCGCCATAATTCGTTGCAATCTCATGTTTCCTGATGCAGTAAACGACGCCGGTTTAGCAGCCGTTGCCGCTGCCGAAGACGCGATGACATTTTTCCTCCTCTTCCATGCAGCGAAAGAACAAATGAAGTCAGGACCGTTTGGCGAATGATACCATATTAGGAAGTAGTTGAAGAGAAAGTAGTAAAACGTTATTGAAGTAAACATTTATTGATACTCTGATTACAATACAAGGGCTGCTGTGTTTATATACTGCACAGGTAGCTTAACAGAATAACCTCTCTTAACAACCAGCTTAACAGCTTCCTAACTGCCTAATATTCTTCTAAACATACTCATTCTTCTAACATAGTGGTGGATGTATATTGATGTTAGCAAGAATATATATTCATCTTAAAATTTCTTAGAATTGAATTTTTTTTCTTTAAAATTTGGAGTTGTTTTCATTAATATATGTGTTTATGTTAAAAATTTATCGCATACACTTAAATATAGAAATTTTATATTATTAATATGTACGTATTTACCTCAAAAAAAAATTGTAGTCAAGAAATATTGTTGGTAAGAACATTAGTTGACCCTTATTCCCATATGTAATAGGGTAAAGAGAGGTATGATAGTAAGCTGCACCCAACGCCAGGTTGAGAGCAGCTTCTGTGGGAGACCTCCAAATTATAAATTGCCTACCGTGGGACTCGATCCCACGACTACAAGGTTAAGAGCCTTGTGCTCTACCAACTGAGGTGGATAGGCAATTCTGGTAAGATTGAGGCTTAAGTAGACCCAATCACCGGCTTGAAATGTTATTTTGGATCGTTTTTTATCGGTGAAAATTTTCTTTCGATTTGAGCCTATTGAAGATAGAACTTCAACATTTTGATTGCAGCTTCTTGAGCCTGTGACCTTGTATCAATCGTAGTAACAATGAAATCATCAGCCACATAGGGTTCATGAGTGGAGCTTGCCCATAAACCACCTCAAATGGTGTTTTATGAATAGAAGAGTGATAAGAAGTATTATACCAGAATTATGCTAACGTTAACCAATGATGTCATTCCCGGCGTTTCTACTTTGAGATACTCTATGAAGTTGAAAAATATGATTAAAGAACATTTGACCGATGGGCAGAGCAGTAAAAGGGTGGTGCAAACTGAGACGAGCCAAAATTAAATATTGGTAGGGGTTGAAATGTTAGACTATTTAAGAAAAATATAAAGATTTATTAGGTATTTAAATTTGAAATTCAGCATGAACTAAACGACCTTAGTGATTAAGAGATTGTTATTATCCTTGAGGTCCCGAGTTCAAGCACGTATGTAGGAGTATGAGCGTTCATTGTCAAATAGTTGAAAGTCTTTGAACATGTATTACCTTGTATTCATATAAATTAAAAAAAAAACTCAAAACTCAAAAGACAACTTCTAATTTATCATTCTTTAGTTCGACCTCTACTTAATTAAATATTTAATAATTTTTTATATTTTTTAAATTTAAATATTTATTTTTACATGAACCAAAGTATTATTAAACTAAGATTATATCAAATATATAAGTTTTAACAGAGACGTGGGCCCTTGAACCCTAAGGGAGCTCCGTCCTTGTGTGCAAGGCAAGAAAATGACCGACGGTGGTTAGAATAGCGGCAAGCTGGAGGATTCATTTAAATTGAGGAAAGAAATAGAGATAATAGAAGAGGAGGAAAAGAAGGAAAGAACATAAATAAAATAACTAGTTTTTTATTTAAACTAATACTATGTCTTATTTATTTAAATATAATTTTTATAAAAATATTTAAGATTAATTTTTGGGTGTTGATTGTCATATCGTAACACTGTTAGAAAGTTAACGGTTGAACAATAAATATATAAAGTTTAATAATTAAATTTAAAATATTTAAAATATAATAAGTAAAATAAGGGGAAAATAAAATTATTGAATAAATTTATAATTTACCTCGACTGTTATGACGATTAATCAAACCTTTTAAAATTAAGCATACAATTTGTATCTCCATTTTTATGCAGAGAAACGTATAATTTGATCACCCTAAAGTTACAGTCTTAAAGAAATTGGGGTGCTTAAAACATTACAATATAATTTTATTTAATAATTACTTGATTTTTTGTAATTATTTAACAATTAGTTAGTTGATAGTATTATCAGTGTTAGGGATAATGGGTAGTGTTTAGATATTATTAATTATTTTTTAATCAAAAATAACTAAACCATGAAAACTTGTTACAGGAATCCGATTCACCAAGTTACAGGTCAAGCTTAGTAGCCTACGATAACTGAAAAACTTTGAAGTTAAAACAACCTATGTCGTACTCGTACCTTCTCGTTTATAGTATCCAAGCTTGGTTTCCATCCTTTGCCTGAATATTGCATATTCAAATATTCCGGCCTACTTTCCGAACTCTCCGAAAATAACTCCTTTAAACTCTGATCCCCATCGGACCTCTTGTCGGCGCTTTCCTTCTTCTGCAACATGAACTTATGTCCCGTTCTGTCGGCATGATCATTCGCCGTGCAAATCCTGGAAAACAAAGGAAGAAGCTTCGGGGACGACGATAAAATCGACTTCGACCTCAAGACTGAATTCGCACTCGACAGCACACGACGAGCTTCCTCCGACGACAACGTGATGGGCTTCCCTCGTCTCACTGGTAGCATCACGTAAAGCTTTTTTACGTCGAGTTTATGGTCGGCGGGCAAGGGAATCGGTCTCTTCTGATCAATTTCGGCGTTGAACTCCACGACAACGTGTTGCGGATGCTCCAACATCAGCTCCGCCGCTTCCAATGGACAGCTAAATTCTTGAACCGAACCATCCCAGAGAATTACTTTCCCGGCGGTATCGGATGGCAGACATGTAGCAGTGGTAATATGGTTACCCATAATATATACGATAGTTGATATATGTGAATTTCAGTGTAGGAATTGAGAGAAAGATGATGGATATTAAATGAAGGAATCTGGAGAGGGTGCCTTCAAGTTGTAGATTGTGTTCGTTAAACGGCTCCATATCGAGAACGATTTTGTGGTGGACTAACTAAAACATCATAAAATATAGGGTCGTTGGATCCCTTTTCATCATCTAACTTCCATTTACATTAATCCCAGGGTGATGAATGGCAGACATGTAGGTCTGCTGTACCCGGCCTAAACAAAATTGACGCCAAATATATGGTTCAACCATGAACTGCAGTATTAACTAATTCCGTACTTTAATGGAGATGTTTTTCTTTTAATTACTTGTGGTATCTAAATCATGTCAAAAGAAAATTTAACAGTATCGGTTTCAATCATGGACTTGTTAAAACTTAATTATGGACTTTGTTGACTAAATTTAAGATCGAGTACTTGTTTATTCAAAAAAAAAAAAGATTGAGGACTTGAACTCAACGATGATAATTGGTTTGGTCTCTTGATTTCTTTGTCTGATATGAAATATATAATTTTTTATATAAAGTGGGTGAAAATATTTTATATAAAAACAATTGCTCTGATCATTTTAAATTTGAGTTATAATCGTTTCAAAATCCTTATCGAGTTGATATTTTGAACTCGTGTCGGAAGTCGAATGTCTAATTTGAGATGATTTACATATGAATCAAAACCTTTACCTTTCTACCAGCCGGTATATCAAGAATTATTTATAAAAGAAACTAACATAATCAATTTCGAAGTTGAAAATGCTACTCAATTGAATTCTATTCGAGTTGGTAGGATATGGAAGTTCATTGAGAAAACTACAGTACCGGAGACTTGCTGCCACAACTATTTTACAGAGCAGTGACAGTTTTACCTCCCTTTTATACATCCCAATTCAAAACACACTTGGGGGCCAGTTCAAACAGTTTGATGAGTACATTCTTTTCCCGGAATCGGTGTGACGAGATGGAGCTGTGGTTTGAAAGCGTAATGCATCTTTCTGGCCATTAACCTACTGATATACTGAGACATCCACTTGAAGCCATCACCATATCCCATTTTGCGGACAATGCTGCACATAAATACCTCTAGTGGACGGACATTCGAGTCTGCTAGGTTTACCTTCCCCTTGCCGGTGGTAAAGTTGGTGAGACCAAGATGGTATCGCAACTCATCCTCAGAGGCAGCATATGGTATATCAATCTTGTTTCCAAGGATAAGAAATGGGACATTGGCAAGGGACTCGTCTGAAAGTAGTGCATCGAGTTCCTTCTTTGATTCTGCAAACCTCTCTTTATCATAGGCATCTACCAGGTAAACCACAGCATCCACCTGGAACCAAGAAAATATACAATTCAAAGCATTCACCGGTGACCATGTGGCCATAGCTTCTAAATCAAAACAATAAGAACAAGGACATATAGCAGCAAAAAATGTCATCTAAACTTCTCATCATACATTGTATGTTGCTCAAAAGCAATGATAGTGTAAAAAAAATGTTCATACAACTTCAATTCAACCTTCACATCCAGCTGCCAGATCCAGATCACCTGGTTCAGCACACAAACATTGCTGTTTTTGGCACAAGAAGAATGGCGAAACAGAAACACACATGCCCACAAGGAATCTCTTTTTTTATTTTCTTTGTTATGCCTTTTGTATTATATGCTTGAGAAATATGTTTTTTTTTTGCGCAGAAAGCTACAGCTGACAGATAATACTCGACCAATGGCTACCTTTACAAAATGAACTATAGTGATATGCTAAAGATCTAATAATAGGAGTTTGAGACTTTGATAACTGTTCGAGACTCCGGTTTCACCTAGACAGCTTGAGAAATAAATCAATCAGCTAAAAGTTAAGCGTTCCATAAGGTGATCAAATTACCAACCTCACTGAAAATTCATTACCATTAAATGATTAGAAAATCAGCATATGACATTAGAAACCCTCTTATTTTGTTTCTATTACATCACACGGCAGGAAAAAATCCATTGAGACTCTGAACAAAAATAGCTCAGGCACAAAAACATCAGTGCGACATATGAGCATAGAGTAAGTTCTGTCATCAAAACTAATAAACTCCTGGCAATTGAGATTGTAATAACCATAGCAAAAGAATTAAAAATAAACAGATTCAAGTGAATGCAGAATCACTAAAAGTACTAAACATGGAAACATAGAAAACACACAGTTGACAAGGAAATTTTACTTAAAAAATAAGCATTAAATTCAGTTTTTGGTTACCTTAGCATAGTAATCCTTCCAGACTCTGCGAGCAATTTGATGACCACCCAAGTCAAAAGCTTTGAACTTAATCTTCCCAATACTAAGCTCCTCGGATGTCGGATACTGAGTGGGCTGGTGTTGAACCAATCTCTGGAAACGGTAATATTCAACATAGTTAATTACCTTTTTCTTTCAAAATTTTCTGTTCAATAGAATCTGATTCGAGATCCAAAACTATACCTTCAAAAACAGATTTCGATACTCGAAGCAAAATGGGTAAACTATTGGAAAATGAGTAAAAAATGGGGGGAAAACGAACCTCGTCTTTCAACATGTGAAGCAATGTGGTCTTACCAGCATTATCGAGGCCGAGGAACAAGATCTTGGCCTCTTTCTGCCATAGACCGAGGGAGGCAAGAACGCCGTAGAACCAATCCACAAGAAACATCGTTTCGCTCTCCGGTTCAGACTTCGGATCCCCGGAAAATACAAACGGATGAAGCTCGATAGTTTGCGACGATCTGAGATCGGAGGGACGGTGAGATCGATGTAATTCAAGGCAACCACTTCATATCATAGAAGAAAGGATCAAATTTGACCCCCCCAATAAAAACGAAAACGAGTTGGGGCACTGGAGGGTAATATTGGAAAAAGAGGAACAATAACTCTCGATGTTATTCCAAAATTTAGGGTAAATATGGAATTTCGTAACCTGTATCTTTTTCTGTGAGCTCCCTTTCTTCTGTGATATGCGACGTCGTTTCACACGAAAAAAACCATATAATTAACCCGCCGATTTTTTAGTAATAGAATGGTAATTTTTGGGACGGGTTAAGTTAACTGCCCCATGCACACTCAAATTATATATTGTCTAAATTAGTCCTAAATATCAAAATATTTTAATCAAATATTTAAATATTAATATTATATAATTCAAAATTCTAATTAATCTATTCGTTTGAATTTTACATGCAAGTCAAATACAATACATAATATATTTAAAAATTTAGGTGTATTTACTGCATACATAATTTAGATATGATGCGTTAAAAATGATAGTAATAAGTTTTATTAATAGTTTTCTGTTTCATTATAAATCCAAAAATATTATATGATGGTTATATATTTATTTTAGTTTGATTTATGTTATCTTTATTTTCATGATATTTATAATAACGACGCGATCGAACGTTTAGTGAATCGTTCAGCGGGAAGTCCGTTATTTATTAAATGAATGAATATGAATAAGATTTTATGTCCGTTTAATTAAATAAAGAACATGAACATGATTTTGTGTTCGTTTAATTAAATGAATGAACACGAACAAATGATTTACTCGCTCATGAATGTTCGGTAATACGTTTGTTTATTTTAGTTTATTTATGTTCGTTCGTTTATATTCAGTTCAATCTCTAGATCTGTTTGAAATATTAATACCTTATAAATTTTAGAACAAAGTAAATAAATGATCCTGACTATAAGATATTGCTTTATTAAGTCCCTCGAGTATTAAAAGTTACAAAATAATCCTCTTACTATAGAGTGTTGCTTTGTTGAGTCACTCAACTATTAAAAGTTACAAAAGGATCACACGACTATACATTTGTTCCAAACTCGTACTTTTCTGTTAAAAAATTATTTGGAAAGAAAAAAATCTTATGAAATATAAACCCAATTAATTTTATGTTCATTCGTTTTATGTTCGTTTGCTTGTGTTCATTTGTGTTTTGTTATCATTTTTAACGAACGAACATGAACAAACTAATTTTTTTAATGAACGAACACGAAGAATAAATTCCGTTTGTTTAGTTGATCGTATTCGTTTGTTCGGTTAAGTTAATGAACGATATTAACATATCATCATTCGTGTTCGTTCGGCTCGTTTAGAGGCCAACCAGGTAAGTTTAGGTTGCGGGTAAAATTGAAACCTTCGTGTACTTTTGGACATTACCGAATGTTATTGCATTTGTTTTGTTTCGGGCAAATCGCTGTCACCTACAAAGGTTCCATTAATTATGGTTCGGCGAAATGAATAACGTATGTCGTAGTGTTGTAGGCATAAACTGATAAACCCATTTCCTTTTTTTGAGGAACACACATACTTTCAGATAAGAAAATCACAGTCCACAATAAACATCTAATACTAATGATTTGATCTATACAATATTCAAGGAGAAATGCAGCAAGAAGGAAAGCTTTTATATCTTCCCCGGATGTTTCACGATCACCACCGGGCATTTAACGTGCTTGGCGCAATGATCACTCACGCTTCCGACTAACCCTTTTTCTCTTGGGGGAAAAACCCCATAAATGAAGTGTGAAGTTATCATTATACCTTTTGAAGAAACCGTAACCATGGCTTCCCATCACCAACGTATCGGGTTTGATTCTATCAACGATATTACATATAACGTCCTTAGCATCCCCACTTCCCACCATTCTCTCCACAGTTACCTGCACACAGTTGAAATCATCGGTAAGAACAATACAAAGTGTAAATAAAAACAAGCGGCGTTCAAGTTGAAAGCAAGAGGCTTTTACATCGGTGCTGAACTTTCCGCATATATCTTCGGCTCTTCCCATTACCGAGTTCGCCAGATCATTGCCGTAAGTTTCCAACGCTCTGATCACATCGCCCGAAATTATATACCCTGAAACCATACGCTGTGAGCACAGTAGTCCTGGCAGAATTTAAGTAGTTATTAATGGATAGAAAACGCAACGATTTGAAGAAACAGCCATGGCTAACCTGCAACGTCCAAGGAAGAATAGACGGGAGGAGGGGACTTGACATAAAGAAGGATGAGATTGTTGATTGTGGTTTGAGAAATCAAGTTACAGAGGCACCATGAAAGTGCGTACATGCTCTCTTCACTCTCATCCACCGCCACTACAATTTTGCAATCCTTTTTCTTGAAGTTCAGTGGAAATGCTTCCATTGCTACAACTTGGGTTGTGTTTTTCTTTTATTGGTTTCAATTTGAATATAAGAAGGGTCTGAGAAATTGTTGGCGTTAAAGTGTTGATAAGAAAGCAAAAGAGGAAGCATGAACTTTAAAGGAGGTAGTGGCCTGGTTTTGAGTTCCGTGGGTTGGATTATATTTACTACTCTGGTCCCTGGGTTTTGAAGTGAAAGCCGCTGTATCTATGTGAGCTCTTGTTTCTTATGTGCCATAGCAAAACTGGATAATTAAGAAATAAATTGGATTAACAAAAATAACGTACGTAATTGTTTTTAAGAATCAGGTGGGATTAAAAAAAACTGAAATTTTAACTGTATAGAATCTACTACAGCCAATTATACCACAAGCTGTTTATAATATTGAGCTCATCAAGGATACGACGTAGAAAGAAGCTTTAGATTTCAATTCAGTCGGCAGTCGTGATTGGCTGCAGGAAAGAAATGCGCTTTTCAAACCATATGAGTTGATGCTATGTGTCATGTGTGCAAGTTGACAGAAAGGATGTGACCTTTTTGTCTACATTTATTCATTTTTGCCAAATCAAAAGATACTTATGGAGACGTCGTAGGCAGAAACTTATAGAAACATCCCAAGCAGAAACAAACGACTGTGGTCTAAATAAAGAGCCATCAGAAAAAAGTAGAGATTTTTGCATTTGAAAAGTTTATCTAAAATTGAATTTGGGTATAATCATCTTTATATGTAAATTCTGTTGAATAAAGTGTAATTAAAGATCTTTCAACACCATTTAAAAACCATGTTCTTGTATATCATCATAAAGAACATATTACTGTGTAAAACTATATTTTGTACTTAACACCCATGAATCTAATTGTTATTGGTTTACCGGCAACGCCTCTGCTGAACGAGTCTTGCATAACTTCATAAAGAACAGATTCTTGATATGAAACTATAACCCCTAATGACATTTGGTTTTTGTGATCTACAACCACTAACAACATGGCGCTCAGTTTTATAATCTTCCCCACTCTCCAACTGCAACCATGACAGAGAACAATGGCTTGACACGACGCTTTCAAACTTTTATCAAACATCTCCGGATCAAAAACATCATCAAACAGATGCAACAGAAACCTTTTTTATAGAAGAAGCCACGAGGACACAATTTGCAAAGCAAATATTGAAATCAAGATCTCAATGAGATGGAATTATTCAAATCGAGGTTGCTCATCATCAATATAAGAGCCAAATTATAACAAAACAAAATGCAGCTGAATCTGTCCACAATTTCACAAGACATTAAAACATTTATCTTCTGCAACAACACTGATTTCACCTTTCTCGAGCATGTCGTAGAATGCTCTCACTTTCCTCTGCTCATTCCAGTGATGCATCTTCCAGAGCCCACCAGCACAAAGGCCAAGCGTTATCCCGATAACTATCTCCTTAACAACAATTGGTCCTTTCAAGGTAGCATGAGCAACCCTCCCCCCAGCCATTTCACTTCTGTAGTTGAATCTAGTAAACCTAAACATAATTAAACCATTTAATTTCCAACTCTAATGTTCATAACCCTTAATAATGACAATATAGAGCAATCCATGTAAATTTTAGTACTTTAACTACCAATTTGACCCATTTGAATCAACACATGGAAGAAAGATGAACAACATACGCAGATTCAATCTCAAATATTGATTCCTTTCATTCAAAATGGCTATAATCAGTAGTTCTTACACATCTATTTGTTTTGAGACCAATAAAGCTGGCATCTAAAACATTGTGTTAAAAAACAATTTCATGGTTGTCAATCAATCAAGCAATGCAGCCAACCCATTCAATTATTCATTGTTAATGCTTACAACATAAATTTATAAATGAAGCCTCACCTTAACACCTTCCTATTTGTCAATGCAACAGATCAACCCACTCATATTCAATTTATTGGTTCCATTCAACAGCAGTTTTACATTGCATACTTCATACTCTCTTATGTCTAAGCACGCAAATTATATATAGAGATTTCGAGTCTCTTAGCTTGACGGGAAATATATTAGAATACTTCCCAACCAATCAAGCAATACAGCCCTAACTAATGCTAAGAAGCAAAATGAAAACAAGCACTGTTGTGATTTAAACAATAATTAAATCGAAATTTATGCTTTTTGCTATCAATTAAGAAAAAGCATAAAAATTTCAACCAAAATTTCAAAACTCCGATGAAAAAATCGTAAAACAAAGAACAATCTTAAATCACCACCGTGCACGCTGTTGAGTCACTGAAATCAATATCAAAAACTTTCAAGACTAAGAAATGAAACAACTGAATCATCATTTCAACGCATAAAGATATTTGAAATCGGAACCCCATAGAAATGGAAGGAAAATCGAAGGAAGAAATTACGGTTTACCTGAATGACGCTGTGTCGATGAACCGAGGATGGAATCCGATGGGTACACAAAAGTATCTAATTTGCCCTTTCTGAAATAAGTGGGCTCGAGCTGGGTTTGAAAAAAACGAACCCAACTTATTAACGAGTCGATAGATATATCCAACACCTTCCTATTTATTTGGGGAACCAAGTTTGCTACAGCAGGTGGCTTATTAGGTGATTTTTTATGGGCAAGTAAAATATAGTATTTGATTAAATATAACTCTCAATCATTTGTCACTGAACGTTCGTACCTCTGATATTTTTATGCTCGAACTTAAGACCTCAAGGAATAATAATAATTCTTTTACGGTAAATATGAATTAGTTGAAAATGGGAACAAATAAAACATTGTGAGTAAATTGATGAAATGGTAAAGCAAATGTTCCAATATGAGTTATAGGAACAGTTTTATCATTTAAAAGGTGAATGGAATGTAAATTTGAAGCACATGTAACCTTATTTATAATAATGTGAATATCATAAAATGTGATCAATGACCCTAAAGTTCAAAATTCAAGTATGAGTATCATTATTGCACAAATAGCGAGAATTATTATTTGCAAGGTTGATAGTTGATTATTGAGGTACTTTATTAAGAAATATAATTTTAACACCCAATCTTTATTTGCTTTTAAATTAAATTTTAATTAATTAATTTTTAGGACCAAATTGTTAATTTTCAGAGTTTTAAGATATTTTTTGAATTTATTTAAAAGTTCAGGGACTTAAACGTGGATTTGACCCTTACCTATCAGCATTAAAAAAGGGGGAAAAGTGAGATATTATGGTTGTGGTAGTTTGAACGAGTGAGCTAGGGGCATGGCCACCCATACCTTAACTATCAGGCTAGGTCATTGTTAATGTTAGAAAGAGATTTTTCCAACCTAAATCCTTAAATTACAAAACCTTCTCCATTTTAAATTTGCATACCATCGAATTAATCTCCAGTCGTCATGTCGTGCAACGCCACCTTTGGTCTGCTCGTCATCACCTCGCAACCAAAGCCCGACCATCCCCTTGTCGAGATACACCACCAAATGTCGTAAATCGCCAAAACAAATCCCCAATCAAAATCGAGCCTTTCGCAACCTAAATCCCTAAATTACAAAACCATCTCCGTTTTATTTTCGCCTACCATCGAATCAATCTCCAGTCTTCATGTCGTGCACCGTCACCGTTGGTGTGTCCGTCTTCCCCTTGTTAAGATCCATCGCCAAATCTCGTAAATCGCCCTCGATCGTCGTTGGAATCAAAAACCGTCGTTGTATCTTTTTATTCGATTTTACGTTGACTCCGGCATCCGATGACCACACCAACTATATTGACGTGCTCCTCGCATCTTTCCAAACAAAACCTGACCGAAACCACAACTTCACTGGTATTCTTTGGTAGTCTGTCGTGGGTAAACTCTGATTTTTTTTTTATATATTTTGTTTCGTGTTTTGATGAGTTTTGGTGACGTTTGAGTTGTTATTTGTGAATTGGAACATTGGGAGTAATCGATCGATTTTCCCGCTCTGTTTGGCCACCGCACGCGCTGCCACGCATCGCCCCTAAGTGTAGTGCTACTCTTTCCGCTTGAATCTTCTAGAAACCGAGTCACCATGTCAACTCAGACCCAGTTAACTAGAATTGGTCTGAGTCAACCCAAACAGGTTTGGACCGTTGACTTTATTAAACAGTTGACTTTAACTCAAACCGTTAACTTTGACTTTAACAAAAAAGTCTAAATTTTTAAAAATTCATATTTTATGTTTTTCGACGTCCTGAGTTCGAATTCTAAGTTTATTTTGCTAAATTATAACCTGAAAGTGTTCAAATCGAGCGTTGAATTCTGTACATGCATATGTATTTAATTATTTTATTCAAGTGTATTTTAATTAAAGTCATGATTGTTTTATATTATTAATTATTGAAGGTACTCGAGACTCTCTCGATTGCTCGTCAGCTCGACCTAACTCCTTTCGATCCGTCCGATCACGAGAACATGTGATTACTCGTATAGTTTCATAAACCCTATAAATATTTAGATTTAAATATTACCTTCAATAAGTAACTCGTATTCAATATGGTTTAAGTTCGAGCACTGTAGTAAAGCGTAGCGAAGCCGGTACTTAATAGACTTCCCGGTTTGACTTCTTTTTAAGGTGTGTTCCTTATTTATTACTTACTGATATGATTTGACTACTAAATATTTTATATGCTTTGAATATATGCTTTTAATATTTATTTATTTATTTTCATTAATTTTAAATCCTCATTTTAATTTCTTGTAATTAATTCAATTCGAGAAACAATATTATCAAACTTTCTTAGTCCCTGTGGATCGATCATATTTCTTTATATTATTTTATTTATTTATTTATTTGAGAATTAAAAATTATTTTTATTTGACAAATTTAACGCTTGTCAATACGGTATTCATGAATGATGTTTTATATTTTCATGACTCATTTTGAACTTTATTACTTTTAATTATGTGGTTAAAGGTGTTTGGTTACACATGACTTTAAAAAGGTGTTTTGAAAAGGTTTTAGAAATTTTTAATATAATTCACTAAACCTAATCGTGACGCACATATTAAATCTAGGGGTTACAGTAATGATATGATCGTATTGTACCTGAGAAAGTGATGGAGCCGTTGGAACATTTGAAATCATCGGAGATCTAACATCTATACAATTGTTAATTTTGATATTCAAGATAACTTAAACATCTCTCTTTTTTAATAAATTAAGGGTTAATTATGATTGATCATTTATGTTTGAGTTTGTCTATTTTTTTTTATCTATTTCAAAAAATATAATATATGGTCGCTTTTATTTTTATACGTGTGAAAATGATGTATTTTCTAGTTTATTTAATTATCGTGTCATCTCAACAAATTATTAATGGTTTAATGACAATTAACTCGTGGCAACAACATCTTAATTAAATAAAAAAACAAAAGTAATCATATATATTATGTTTTTTTGGAATCAACGAGGAAAAGTGCACAAAACACAAACATAAGTGATCAATCAGATAGTTAACCCGATCCATGTGGAAACAAAGTATTTTCTATTTTATTTAACTATCGTGCCAGCTCAACAAATCGTTAACGGTCTAATGGCAGTTAACCCATGGTGACCGCATCTGAATTAAATAAAATCGAAAGTGACTATATATTATGTTTTTTTTTAAATCAATGAAGAAAAATGGAGAGAACATAAACATAAGTGGTCAATCATATAGTTAACCCATATAAAAATTAGTTGACCCTTATTCTCATATGTGATGGGGTAAGGGGGAGGTAGGATAGTAGGCTGCACCTAACGTCAGGTTGAGAGCAGCTTCCGTAGGAGACATCCAAATTATAAAATGCCCTCTGTGAGACTCGATCCCACGATTCCAAGGTTAAGAGTCTTGTGCTCTACCAACTGAGCTGGATGGTTATTTCATAGTTAACCCATATAGAAACGGGTAATTTTGTTATATGGTAGTCTAATTTAAGACTAAGAAACGGCATGAAATGAAATATTTTCGATTAAACGTAACCTAAAATATTAATTTTTCAACATTTTGAGTTGAACTGAAAATATTATGCAGAAGATAACATTTTCAGAAGCCAATAAAAATTATTATAAATAATGTTTTCAATTAAAAAAAATGTTAAAAAAAAACCAGTCTAGTGTACTTGTACCAAAGAACTTCAGGCAAACTAGTTTCGCGAAACTCTTGTTTGCATGTCTTATTTCTACATGTGAGATGACTACGAAGCAGAGAAACAATCTCATGATGTAGAAAAATACACATACAATCAATCTTATAAATTTGATACATTAAATTTGTATCAAATCTACATCAAATATGTATTATCTCAATCAAATTTATATTAAGAATTAGATATTTAAATAATATATTTAAATATAATATAGATATATCATAAAAATAATATTAATATAAATATTATATTATATTATTTAAATATATATAATATCATTTAAATATCAATTTAATATCAAATAAACATATTTAATAAATTTATAACATAGATAATTAATTATTTAATTAAAATATAATAAATATATTAGTATGAAAAATTATTGTTTTATTTTAAGATATTTTTAATTAAAATGAAACAAAGAAAATAATTAAATAAGAGGTGAAAATGACATTCTAACAATTTGGCAAAAGAACGTTACTATTGATAGGAGTTAAGACAAACTTAACATAAAAAATAAAATTTATGAAAAAATTATTAGGATAAATTATAAGTTTAGTACTTAAACTATTCCTTTGTTCCTTTTTGGTACATATTCTTTTTCAAAATTATATCTAACGTTTAGTTTAGGTTTCAATTTGATACCTTACCATTAAAAAATTAATAAAATTGTAGACATGATATTTTTTTCAATGATGATCTGACATTACCTTATATTGACATATTAATATCGCCATTAAGTTTTTAACGACGAGTACAAAAAACATAAATTAAATGTCAAGTATGTTTTTTAAAATAAATAAAATTTAAATAGTAAAACGAAATAAAAATAATAATATAGATAGTAAACCTATACTTTACCCAAATTATTATCATCATTTTTTTGGACAAACACTCTCCACTAAACATTATATAAAAGAAAAAGAGTAAATTACAATCATTTATCAGTTAAAATTACTCTCTCTCCTATTTTACCCATTATACTTTTAATTTTTTCAATTAACTCACTCAACTTTGTACATTGAGCTTTTTTTTTGACCATTTTCTCATTCATATAATTATTACATGACTTATTTTAATAATAAAATATATCACATAAAATTTACAATTAAAAGAATATAAAAAATTCTTAAATTCTACTCTCAATCTCTAGTTCTAAACCTTCATACCATAAATTCAAACGTCAAATCTCAAATCTCAAATCATCATCGTATTCCCCCTCTTTCAAAGACCCAAAGTGTAATGTACCTAGTTTAAATCCATTTACTTCTTCTATTATCATAAAGCAATAGTTTCATCTGATTACTTCTTGGGACAAACCTAATTCAATGATAGTTCTG